TTTTCGACTGATATATTGAGTACACCACTTTGATTTGTTTCAAATTTTCCAGCAAAAACATATTTATCCAATGGGGAATTAAGACTATTAAATAAAATTTCACAAGTACCCGTGTGAGGAATATATGTAGTTGAAACTTTACAATTTGATCTCTCAGAAGCAATAAACCATTGAACCAATTGACGATCTTGTATCTTAACTGTTTGCAACTGACTGCTTCGTTCTTTAACCTCAATGATTTTGTCGGATCCTGATCGTTTCATTTCTTCAATAAATTCTTGTGATAACCTTTTTGTAATTCCATTATCAATAACCATCACGGGTTTTAAACAATTGAATAAATAACATAATCGAAATAAATGATTTTTCAATGTTTCAAGTATATCTGCAATTTGTTGAATTGTCGTTCGCATTATAAATACTTGAAAAGTGCCTCTTCTCCCCTCTTTTACAGCAAGCATTATGTTATTGATACCTTGGACTTCGTAAGAGTTCAGCCAATCGAGTATAGGAAGAAATGTATCAATAAATCCATCATACCATTTAATCCAGTCAGACGTTCGCTGTACAATATCCACTAAACCATTGGATAATACAATATCGTTCGGTTGCTGTTGATTTCTCAAATTTAATATAGATGGATGAATTTTTGGAAAGTGTAACAGATCGTCCGAAATTTTAAATGTTGTAAATAATGATGGATCACTAACAAAAAGATTTAATATATTGCTTTTGAGACGATTAGGAGTTTCTTGAAATATTGAACGTGGCGCTGTTAAACATACAATATTACGTATAATTTTATTGATACGTTCACAAAATATTTCAAATGATTTTAAATTTGTTTCGACTGATGAAGATAGATTTCTTGCTTGATTTTTTAAGTTCAGTAGATAACATATTATGTGATCCATTTCAGGCAATGCTAATTCTTTTAAAAACGGTTCGACATTATGAAATAAACTTGTTATTAAAAAAGCTGATAGATAATCGTTTCCGTTATGGACATCAATTTTCGCGTTTTTAAGCCATACATTAAATTCTTCTAAATTTGTTTCACATTGTGTTGGTTGTACGTCTAATAAACTTAGCAGAACAAATCTTTCCCATAAATATAAGATCCATTTATTATTTCTACTTATTGATATTAAATGTTCATAAACGTCACATGATATTTGAATCCAGTCTATTGGCCAACGGGGAATAAAATACGCAATCCAGTCATCCTTCACGATAGATGATGGATCAAAATTTTGCAAACCATTATCCAAATCGCTTAACATTTCAAACAATTTGATAATTCTTCGAATACATGTTGCATTTTGATCGTCACATGTTTCTATGATACATTCCAAAAGCAACGAGAGAGAAGAATTATTTGCAAACTGTATACTGCAACAAAATAGTGTTTTTAGATTGTCTAAATCGTTTTTTCCGCGAAAATGGATGCCTCGTACTTGATATTGAAGATATATTTCTAAAATCGTTCCAGCTATACTCTTGAAACTTGGTTTATAATCCAGTTTCAGTTTTTCTGCACTTAGCTTCATAAATCGACTGAAGTCACTAATTGATAAATCTTTTAGTCTCAAATAAATATCATTGGATAGACGTCGTTGACATTGTTCGGGAATAGATTTATTAGAAAGTAGACAATATACGTCTTGGACATCCTTTATACTTTGTAAGGTCTTAAATATTCCACCACAATAAAGCGGAAAACAAGTTTGAAATTGTGTTAAATATTCTAAAAATGCTGCAATTTCATCTGAACTATAACGGTTTGTTTCTTTTACATTATGAATGAACAGTTCTGAAAATCTGTGATAAAAAGCTGTTTCATCTAAATTCAACTTTTCAGCATCATTTATTAATTTTGACAATGTACTTTCTTCAAGTTCGGAAAAGTGCAGAAATGTGTCAACGTCAATTGGAAATGATTCAAATACACTTGAAAATTTTAGATATTTATCGATGAAACCAATCTT